AGGAAGGAAGCAGAGATAAGTCCTAGAAGCTAGTACAGAACATATAGAGAGTTATATATATGTGATTTTTGGTTAAGGGTTGACTCCCTGATAAAGAAAAATTATGTTCACGTGAGTAGGGACTGTGATCACTTTAATGTAAGCTGACACTTACTCCAGAGCTGAACTGTTATGAATCATAATGCTTAGGGTCAAATTTCTGTTAAATACCCTTCATCTTTGTATATTGCTAAATCTCTAAGCAAGTAAAACTCTCAATTCAAATACTACCTATTTGAGCCATCACCCCAGGACCACTAAGAATTGAAGAGTGGTCTTTGTGCCCCTTGTATTGAGTTTGGAAGGAAATGAAACCAACTCTCTCCTCCTCTCTCCCTTTCTCCTCCTTTCCCCACTGGGTTTTAAGAAGGCCTGCACTATTCTTTGTGGCTGCCTTTCTGACTCTGCTGTTTTCACCTCAAACCACATAGCCTGAGTCTGCTGAGTTGCATGTAACCAAGCACCACGTACGTGGCAATGCTTGACACAAGAAGGGCTGCAACAGGCCCTGGGAACCGGTCCCTGGGGCGTTTCAGTGTTGATCTTCATCTCTGCTTTGTCCCCCTGGCACTGGAGGATCTTTATAGAACTGTGAAGTTTTAGGACTTTTGCTTCTGTGCGGAGGTTCATTCTTTGTGCATCTACCTGTATTTTATATACTGGTCCTAAACTATTTTTCTTCTGTATCCTTAACTGTGTTCATTAGATAGTTGATCTTCTGTTCGGTTTTGGGTTTTTTTGTTTTTTTAAGCTTATCACTCTTATTGCCTTATCACTCTTCATCTTAATATCATTTGAGGGCTTTGGTCCTTAATTTCTCTCTTTAATTTATAAACGGTGAAGTCAGATTTCTAACAAATTGATGAATAAGAATGAGCCAGGTTGTTCCAGGGCCTCTAGAGATTGACAAACCAAAATAGATACAGATTAGATTTTGAAAGTAGAGTCAAATTTTTTAAAGCTACAGAGGAGCATGTGGCAGATCCACCTGGCTCATTCCTCAGTGTTGCCCCTAACTTGACACTTAAAATGAAGTTCTGTGAAGGGCAAAAGAGCAGATCACATATGAACAGATTTTAATGGGTTTGTTCTCACCTTTAAGTTGTTTTTCTCATGTAATGTGTCCTATAATTTTATTTTTCTTATAAAAATAATTTCCAAAATTATTCTGGTTCTCAATTTACCTTTTCTGTTTGAATAGAAAATATACTTGATTTTTGCTGCTTGGTAGTTTGGTTTTTTTGTGAGTCCAGGTAAACCAGTGTGGGGAAGAACCTGGTAATTGAAATGGTTGCTCCCTGATAACTTGGATGATTTCCAAATGGGCATCAGAAGAGTGGCTGCTCTTCATGTGGGGCTTGCTGGACCTTGAGAGGGCAATAGCCAAGTGATGTAGGCGTTCAAGGAGCCAACTGCATTCTCTCATTGGGGCACATGAGCTGCTCCCGTCTGATCAACAAAAAACACTTTATGGCTCAGTGCCCATAGCACAGTGGTTATGCCGCCGGCCACATACACCCAGGCTGGTGGGTTCAAACCCAGCTCAGGCCAGCTAAACAACAATGACAACTACAACAAAAAAAAATTGCCAGGTGTTGTGGCGGGCGCCCATAGTCCTAGCTACTTGGGAGGCTGAGGCAAGAGAATCACTTAAGCCCAAGAGTTGGAGGTTACTGTGAGCAGTGACGCCATTACACTCTACCAAGAATAACATAGACTCTGACTCAAAAAACAAACAAACAAACAAACAAAAAACCAACACTTTAATTCTGTTTTTAAAATTAATATAAGAAGTTCATTTTCTTGGGGCGGCACCAGTGGCTCAAAGGAGTAGGGTGCTGGCTCCATATGCTGGAGGTAGTGGGTTCAAACCCAGCCCCGGCCCAAAACTGCAAAAAAAAAAAAAAAAGTTCATTTTCTAAAGAAGGGAAAATTTAGAGAGTTCATTGTATGGCTGGTACAAAATAGTTGTTTCAAGGAGTATTCATGCAGAGTTGATTAAAGTTGTTTGCACAGTAGAAAAAAAGATTAATCTGTCTGTACTCAAAACCCTCATCAAAATCAGTTTTCTATGAGAAATAGCTACATCTATATCTGACTCCCTGAAGGAGAACATAAACTACTTTGAGGATAAATCTTTCTTATCCTTCTTTTTCTATATCTGTTGTATTCAGTAGAGATAGAATAAAGAAATATTTCTCAAAGTTGCACTATGAATTTATAAAGAACTAGAATGCAAAGAGCCAACTGAATTCCATTTGTAACCATTCTAAGGGTATATTTGTAATACTGAACTCAGAATTCAGTGGACTAACGTGTTTAGCAAAATATTAGGAGAAAAGAAAGAAAAAAAATTGGCTTGGCACCTGTTGCTCAGTGGTTAGGGTGCCAGCCACATGCACTAGAGGCAGCTGGTTCAAACCTGGCCCAGGCTTGCTAAGCAACAATGACAACTACAATAAAAAAATTGCTGGGTGTTGTGGTGGGCGCCTGTAGTCCCTGCTACTTGGGAGGCTGAGGCAGGAGAATCACTTAAGCCCAAGGGTTGATGTTGCTGTGAGCTGTGATGCCATAGCACTCTACCAAGGGTGAATAATGAGATTCTATCTCAAAAAAAATTTTTTTAAAAAGAAAGAAAGAAAAAAATATTCATATCAAACAGCCATTTAATATGAACCAAAACCTTTTGAGTCCTAGAATTTTAATTCTGAGTATTAGAAATCAGGTTGAGTAATGAAATACAAATGTATACCTCTGTTTTTTGATAATTCATTTTATAAAATGTTTGAAAATACCTCTATTTTAAAATATAAGGAGACAAACTTACCTGTGATAGAGGCATAGTGTTTCTGTAAATATAGAGAGGTGCTAGCTTTGTCACGGAAATATCCATATTTCTGTAAGTTCTTGGTTCATCTTTCTGTGATATTGGATGTTCTCCTTAACACCTTTATACCAGCTTAAAATGGGAATAAAATATACCAAGTAGAGTTTTGTGATAGATCTGATAATAGGTCTAAAAGACACTTTCTATAGGATAGTCAAATGCTAGTCTTCCTATCTTTCTATCTAGAAAGCACAGAGATTTTCTAAGTTGCAGAAAAATTTCTTCTTGTGGTTTTAATTTTGTCAAAACTAATGGAAATGAAAAGTCAGTATTTTAGGACATCTTTTAATGTAGTTGAGTATTAAATATTAAAATGTATTTACCAGTTTCTAAAATATTTATTCAAATGTCTTAAATACGTTTAGAGAGTTTCATAAATTTCACTTTTGTTTTTTATTTCAAATTAATGTGGGGGTACATTAAGATTAGATTCCATAGCTTGCATTTGTAAGGTTAAAGTCTGATTTGTAGGTATATTCCACATCTAGACAGTGTGTCATTTACCCGTGCAATGTACCCTTTGGGTGGGAATTTACCCAACCCTTTTCCCCCTCACCCCTTACCCCACTTGAAATTTCATTGAGTTTTTCCCTCATGTGGAAAAATACACAAATATTAGACTATATTGAGTATAATATACTCAATAATATACTCAATATAGTCTAATATACATGAGTATAAACTGTTAATCTACTAGTTCCAATTTAGTACTGAGTACATGTGATTTTTTTTTCCATTCTTGTGATACTTCATGAATTTTACATTTTATTTTTGGATGTCTAAATGTTGGGATTCACTCTATGATTATTATTATTATTATTTTTGCAGTTTTTGGCCGGGGCCGGCTTTCAACCTGCCACCTCCAGTATATGGGGCCAGCACCCTTCTCCTTTGAGCCACAGGCACTGCCCTATTATTATTATTTTTTGAGACAGAGTCTCACTGTATCTGGGTAGAGTGCCGTGGCGTAACAATTCACAGCAATCTCAAACTCTTGGGCTCAAGCGAGCCTCTTACCTCAGCCTCCTAAGTACCTGGGACTGTAGGCGCCTACCACAATGCCCAGCTATTTTTTTGTTGTAGTTGTCATTGTTATTTAGTAGGCCCAGGCCAGGTTTGAACCGTCAGCCTGGGTATATGTGGCTGGCACCCTAACCACTGAGGTACAGGTGCTGCCACTCTAGGATTATTTTTATTCTTTAATTTCATTTATTTCACACATCTATTAAGGATGATTGTTTCCACTTATGAAATATTGAATTTTTGTGTTTACTATTATATAGAGAGGTATAATGTTACTTTTGAGTGGTTTTTTTGCCCCAAGCAAGTATTCTGTAGTTAAATGCCATCATAAACTTTAAATTTATCTATGTTATTAACTTACTGAACATTTTCTAAAGGATATCAGTTAAAATGTATAATAATCATTTATTTCCTCAGTGAACACTGAAAAAGTCCTTTTAATGTATGTGCCTGTTTCCGGACTTCAGTTCTAGTGTTGTGATAGTTCATGACCACCAGTAGAGGGAGCCCCTCCTCATCTTTCTTGGTGAATTTAGCTCTAAATTTAGAAAATGCAGATTTGTAGAAAGGACACACTTGAACAACACATGGATATATAAAATTTCAAAGGCACTAAAGAATGACAATTGTAATTTTCCTGAACTTTGATGCTTTGATGGAGAAAAAGAATCTCACTTTGATTTCCATGCTTTTAAGTAAGTAACTCTCAAGTATAACTGAGGGTAGCTTACTTTTAAAAATTCTCAAAAATGATCCATCAAGCCACCCAACACTTTTAAAACCAAGAACTATTTGGTCATGTAAGGAGGAAGAGGTGGTGGTAGTGTTATTGTTTGAAATTATAAATAATGGGTAGTCTCATTGGCAATATCATCAACCAAGGTAAGTTGCTGAGTCATTGTACAGTGTAGAGAAAGAAAAATTTAACTTTACTTAGACCTTTTATGTATTCAGAAGGTTATCAAACCAAAATCTAGAAAGGCTCCATCCAGAACCTTTGCTCAGATCTAGAGGTGTGCCCCCTAATTATTACATATTGGTTTCTTTATAGACCCCAGAAGAAAATACCACGTGAGGCTGCTGGCCTACAACAACATAGAGGATGGCTACCAGGCAGATCAGACCGTCAGCACCCCGGGATGTGTGTGTAAGTGAGGTTCACAGGAGTTTATTCCACGGTGGCTCACACTCCTTTTTCTCCTCCTCTTTTAAATTTCAGTCTCTTTAGTACTTGAAAGCCTTGGTGGTTTTCACTTTATATCCTCCGTGCTGCCTAGCACAGTATCTTGAACACATAGGTATTCGGTATGTATTTAAGTGAAGTGTATTAAATTCATAAGCACCTATTTTAATATTGTATGCAAAAGACCATTTGAAATTTAACTGGGGGAAATAACCGCTGAATACCTATACACTCGTTTTCCTTTATCTGTTTTCACCTTGAGGCCAATTGCTTACAATTGCCATTCATCTTTACTACTGGTAAAGAGGATGTTCTAGCCTTAACTCTACTGCTGGCTTTCTGCATGTCTTTGGCTAATTAATCATTTGGCTTCTCTGTGCTTCTGTTTTCCAACATGTTAGATGTTAATAGTACATTCATGTTCATAATGCATTTGGTCAGCAACAGACCAAACATATAATGCTGGCCCCATAAGATTATAATGGGGCTGAAAAAATCCCATCACCTAGTGACATTGCTGCTGTCATAACCTCCTAGAGCAACAACACAATACCTTTTCTATGTTTAGATACACCGAAATTTACCCTTCTGTTATAGTTGCCTACAGTATTTAGTACAGTAACAGTGCTGTTCAGGCTTGCAGCCCAGGAGCAATGGACTGCACCCTGTAGCCTAGGTGTGTAGGCTATACCATCTAGGTTTGTATGATTGTACTTCATGATGTTCACACAATGACAAACTTGCCTCCTGATACATGTCCTGGAATGTATCCCCGTTGTTAAGTGACTTGTGACTATATTTGACTCCTTATCTAACTCATGGAGAGTTTAGGTTTGGATGTTATATTTCTAGACCATTATGAATCTCTGGTGGAAGAAAAACTTAAAATCTGCTTGGAGGGTAGGGTGTTATGATTTTATCATTTTACCACTTTTTGCATTAAATGTTATGTTGTGCAGTAAATTAAACTACCTTTTTCAATAGCTGTTCGTGATCGCATGGTTCCCCCTCCACCACCGCCCCATCATCTCTATGCGAAGGCTAACACCTCATCTTCCATCTTCCTGCACTGGAGGAGGCCTGCGTTCACCACCGCACAACTCATTAACTACACCATCCGCTGTAACCCTGTCGGCCTGCAGAATGCTTCTTTGGTTCTGTACCTTCAAACGTATGTAGCCTCATTAATGGTCATTTTCTTTGCCTTTCTCCTTATTACTACTTACTTATCATCTTGGGCCCAGTGTAGGCTTCAGCAATATGCATTTGTTTCAGACTGCCTGTTAGTAAAAGAGGTTTGCATCTGTACTATATTCAGTTCTGAAAGCTGTACTTTTTGACATTTAAATTACATAAGCAATTTTTAAAAAATTTTCCCAGCTTCACACAACAAGATTAGACAAGAAGCTATTACTGTTTTCAAGTGGCTAAACTTAGCAAACAGAAGACCACTCTGGCATCAAAAAGTACGGCTAGTTGGGTGGCACCTATGGCTCAAAGGAGTAGGGCGCCGGCAACATATGCCAGAGGTGGTGGGTTCAAACCCAGCCCTGGCCAAAAACTTCAAAAAAAAAAAAAATAGAGCTAATTATCATGTCGTTTTCTAGGTTAGAGTTAGAAAGATGCCCAAAGCTATGCTTTCAAGGAATGATTTGACTTCCATTTTTCAGAAGAAATCCCTTTGTTTTGGGACATTTCCATACTGTTAATTTTTTAGTTTCCTCTCAGTGGCAACTTACAGGCTAATAGGATAATATTAAATGTGGTGTTTTAATAATCAGGTTAGATTCTCTTTTTATTTCAAAATATTGAGGAGGTACCAATGTTTTTGTTACATGGATTGCTTTTTTAGTCTAAAACATTTTTTTAGGAAAATGAGGAGCTAACGAATACTATTATGCCCTGCCTGTTGGTTGGAAATACTGACAATCATCAGAAACAATGTGCTACTGGCATTGACAAGTTTAATGCTTGTTATTGTAGATCCGAAACTCACATGTTGGTTCAAGGTCTAGAGCCAAACACCAAATACGAATTTGCTGTTCGATTACACGTGGATCAGCTTTCCAGCCCCTGGAGCCCTGTCGTCTACCACTCCACACTTCCAGAAGGTAAAGAAAGCAGCACTCCTAAGGGTTTTATCTTTAAAAAGAATTTTTAAAGAAATGCTTAAAAATTTATACCTGTCACTTTGAAGAGGATGCTACATTGGTTGCCGTTGCCACGTATTAGTTGATGTGTTTTGTTTCTTTTGGAATTTATTACCCTTTATTATATTTATTTTTTTTTCTTCTGAAGGTATATATTACACAAGCAAACAGGCTTACATGTAGTGGTTTTTTTTGGGAAGTCTTTTTCAATCAGGTGTGCTACAACTAAATAATTTAAAGTGAAAATAAGTGGATGTGCATTTTTAATGAACTCATTTTTACATGAGCGGAAGCTTGATGCAAGCTGATTGAGCAGCAATTCAGTAGCTTACCTATGGCTACATGTTTTTTGTCTCTACGAGGGTAAAGGACTAGAAAATCTATAAGGATCGTTCCTTCCCTGTTTAATTATACTGAGAGAAAGCAGGAGACATTTATGCCGGTGAATATAGAGCTGCTTTGCTATGGTTTTGGCAATATTCTATATGAGATGTGGTGCCAAAAACCAGGTCTTCGTGCTTTTAGCTCATATCAAACATGGAGTCAATTAAAATGCTAAGATTTTACTCCTTTTCACAGATATAAAGTATTTGACTTAAGTTTGACCTATAAACTCATTAATTAACAACTTTTCTGGGAATAACCAAAAGTTTTGGTCTCAGAAGCATTTTCTTCAGTGGTCTCCTAGATCAAGTTAAGTAAATGTTCTATACATTTTAGTTAGAGCTATAATTCAGATTCAGTACTTATGAGGTGAAATTGAGTATCTAAAGGACGGTGCTACTGGTGGAACTGTAAACCTTTCTAGGTAGCAATTTAGCAAAGTATTTTAGGAGCCTTTCATTTTTAAATGCTATCCCTTTAACTTAGAAATTCTCAGCCTAGGAATATACCATATTCTTTATGTATTTGTATGTTTTCAATATTACAAAAATGAAATTAACTTTCAGGAAAAGAATAATTTTTTTTTGGAAACGAAGTCTTATTCTGTTGCCCAGGCTTAGAATGCCATGACGTTATCCTAGCTCAAGCAACCTCAAACTCCTGGGTTTTGTTTTGAGTCTCACTACATCGCCCTTGATAGAGTGCCATGGTGTCATGGCTCACAGCAACTTCAAACTCTTGGGCTGAAGAGATTCTCTTGCCTCAGCTTCCCAAGTATCTGGGACTACAGGCGCCCGCCACAACACCAAGCTATTTTTGTTATTATTGTTGTTGTTAGCTGGCCCGGGCTGGATTCTAACCTGCCACCTTCGGTCTGTGTGGCTGGCTCTGTAACCACTGTGCTACAGATGCCAAGCCTCAAGCTCCTGGGTTTAAATGATATTCCTACCTTAGCCTCAAGTAGCTGGGACTACAAGTGCCTGCCACAATGGCCAGCTAGTTTTTCTATTTTTTAAGTAGAGGCAGGGTCTTGCTTTTACTCAGGCTGATCTTGAACTCCTGCCTCAGCCTTCCAGAGTACTAAGTTTACAGGTATAAACCACCACACCTGGCTAAAAATAGTACTATAGTACTTTACTATTATTACTACTTATCTTTAAAAGTTACAATTTTGAGATTTTTATAATGGTGGTTTCTAGTTTTCCAGACTTAGTTTTTCTCAGCCTGTCAACCAGTTATTTGAGTGTTTATGAACCATTTTATTGCAGTAATACAATTTGTTTTACATGTTTGCACAGCACCAGCAGGCCCACCAGTTGGAGTAAAAGTGACACTGATAGAGGATGATACTGCTCTGGTTTCCTGGAAACCCCCAGATGGCCCAGAGACAGTTGTGACACGCTATACTATCCTCTATGCATCCAGGAAGGCCTGGATTGCGGGAGAGTGGCAGGTCCTACATCGAGAAGGTAAATATGATCATAAATTACCAAGGAGGATGAAAAGTAAGATTATTAATGTTGCAGAAACAAAGGGAAAAAGGAATTTAGAGTTTGCGTTGAATTTCTATTTTTATGTATGAAGTAATAAATAAATATTTTGGTTTTATTCAAAGAACAATTCATGTTCCTGAAAGATCATTCTTACTGTTGTGAATAGAAGAGGTTTTGTTGAGGACAAGTGGAGGGAAGAGTAATGCAAAAGAGACTCACTTGGAAATAATTGAGGAAATAAATCATCTCCAGGAAAGAGATGATGAGCCTGAACTAGAATGGTCAGGATTAAGATGGAAAGGAAAGAATATTTGAAAGATATGAAGGAGTTAAAATAGACAGGACTTGGTAGCATGGATATTAGGAGGAAGGAAGGGAGAATTGTTATGCATAATTATTAGGTTTCTGGTGGTGGTGTGTCCTGCATGGGAGTAGGAATCACTGGGAGAAGATATAGCTTAAAGGAGAAAGCCTTTTTACTGCTGCTAAAATGATCCACTTGAAATATATTGACCATATATGAGTCAGTTTAATTTTTTTTTTTTTTTTTTTTTGAGACAGAGTCTTGCTCTGTTGCCCAGGCCAGAATATAGTGATGTGATCATAGCTCAGTACAACCTCAGACTCCTGAGCTCAGGTGATCGTACTGCCTCAGCATCCCAAATAGCTGGGACTACAGGACCATACCACTGTGCCCAGCTAATTTTTTAATGTTTTGTAGAGGGAGGGTCTTGCTGTTTCCCAGGCTGATCTCAAATTCCTGGGGTCAGGCAATCCTCCCACCTAGGCCTTCCAAAGTGTTGGGATTACAGGCATGAGCCACTGTGCCCAGTATCCCTACTCCCCCAAATTTAATTTTGTTAACAATTATATGTAGAGAGACAGAGTCTCACTTTATCACCCTTGGTAGAGTGCCATGGCATCATAGCTCACAAAAATCTCAAACTCTTGGGCTCAATGGATTCTCTTGCCTCAGCCTCTCAAGTAGCTGGGACTACCTGTGCCTGCCATAACACCTGGCTATGTTTAGAGACACGGTCTCACAATGGCTCAAGCTGGTCTCCAAACTGTGAGCTCAGGCAATCCACCCACCTTGGCCTCCCAGAGTGCTAGCATTACAGGCGTGAGCCAGTGCACCCAGCCTACCGATATTTTTTTTTAGCTGAGAAAAACTAAATTATAAAATTCTTAACATTCTTATTGCATGCTTTTGTCATATCCTTCTCTAAATCTTGATTAGTCCCATGGCCAGTTTTTAGGTGGGCCATTATATAAATATGAAATTCCATTGTCTTGTCACTTCCTTGATTGAGACATACATGATGGGAAAAGAATAGTTTGTCGAGCAACAAAAAGCTTTGTTAAAGAAGGATTTCATGAAGGAAATTTGTTGACCATCTACATTTTCTAAACACTATGCAGTACTAGGTACTTACATACATTTTATCTTTCAGGAGGAATATTTACCCAATTAAGAAGATAAACTTTTTCCTACTCCTTCACTTTACTATTCTAAAGAAAAAAGATAAACTTGAAAGGCGATGTATGTGCATGTAATATAAAACACTAGGCAGTTGTAAAATAAGCAAGTGATAACTTTAGCTGGAGTTTTGATAGTTGTTCTGCATATTTTTCATTAAGCAGAAGCCCAAATAAGAAATGATTTTCTGGTCACAAAAGAGATGTGATAGTAATAAATACTTGGCAGCAATACGATTTTATATTTATGTTAATTATCTGTTACTGCATAACAAACTACTTTAAAACTTAAAACAATTACTTTATTTTCTCATCATTCCTTGAGTGAGCAATTTGGACTGAAATCAGGTTGGCAATTCTTCTGTTGATCTCTCATGAGGCTGCAGCCATCTTACAGTTTTGATAGGGTCTGAGTAGTTTAAAAATAGCAAGACAGTGTTCCAGAATCAGGAAGAGGGGTTGGAAGCCCCATGTACACAGCTTTCCAGCCTCTGCTTGCACCACCTGTGCTAGCATCTGATTGGGCACAGCAAGTCACATGGCCAACCCCTTAGAAAATCACATACAACATCATCTACCCAAGGTTGTGGATAGATGGAGGTGTAATTCACTGGGGGCTTAAGTTACATTCTACCACAATATTCTTAAAACGCATAATTCACTGTCAGTTCTTCAGTTCCCAAATGATTTATGGACACAGTGCTTAACCAAATACAACCAACTTGATTTAATGAGTTATTATAAGCATTAATAAAGACTCTCGATAGCCTGGATACATACATTTTAGTTTTTCATTTGTACCTGCCTTAAAAGAAGCAATATATATATTTTGTTTTGACTCCTTTTAAATATATTCATTCCTCATTTTGAGATGGAGCTCAGAAAATAACATTTTGCCATATTGACAGCTAAGTAGTGACATGGGTTACAGCTGCATGTTTTTACATCTGCATAAGCCTTTCTAACTATACTGTAGTGCACGGGGCGGCAGGAGGGGAATCTATATGTTTCCTGGTGCAATTTTAAGAGCCATTCTACATGAACAGCTTTTGTCATTTGTTAAATGTAGAGAATTTTTCTCATAGCTAATGCCAGCAATGTATAGAGAACAAATAAACAAGTAAAAGGCCACTGGGTTTTTATGAGAGAGAAAAATCCAGAGTTTGACTCACGTTTAAACAAAAAGAAGGAATATAACATGGCATTTAAATGAAAACTAAAATATAAAATTGTCTTTTATGTCTAATCATGGCAACTTTTGGAAGGGTACTATAGAAAAAGATGGAGGAAAAAGAGGAAATGTTGATTTCTCTTTCCCATGTGCCTGTTAATCTTCTATCTATATTAGGTTTTTACATATTTTCACAAATTTAATCCCAACTTGAACAAGACTTTTTTTTTTTCATGAATCAAAACATTTAAAAATGTTCCTGGTGAGCATGTGATATTTATGGCTAAAATGGTACACGGTAGGATGGTTGAGCAGAGTTGTGATATGAAATTATACTTGTGTGTAATTTAAAGTGGAGCAGAAATTACAGTCTTTACCTTCCTGGTGTGCAGTAAATCAACACAATCTACTCAATTATTTTCAAATCTAAAAGGCACTGGAGGAAATTATGCTCTACCCCAGCAATTCCTCAACTCTGTTCTTTATAAGTTTCCTGAGATCATAAAGATGCCTCTCCTTCAAATTTTTTTCCATGAATAAATTAAGTTTGAGCAATACAACATATACCATTCTTCCTGTTAGAGATTCATGTTGGACATTAGAAGTCTTGCAATAAAGAAATCTATTTAGCTCAATATTTGCTAAATGAATTGGGCTACCAATAGTAGAAACATATTCATTTATTAAACTAATTTTTATTGAGTGATCATTACATGCCAGCCTCTATTCTAGGCACTGCAGTGCCACAGTGAATAAAACAAAGTCCCTACCCAGGTAACAAACTGGTAAATATATAACTTTTCAGGTAGTGTCATAAATGCTTTAAAGAAAGCAACAATAGAGAAAAGAAGCAAAGTGATGGGGGTAGTAAAATAAGGAAGAAATAGCATTAAGCATAGCCCTGTGGGTGTCAGGGAGAAGTGCAAAGTCCCTGAGGCAGAAGTGTGGTTGGCACATTAAAAGAACAACAAGAAGATAGATTTTATTCTGAGGTAGAAGACATTGGAGACTAAGAAGTATGGCTCTGGCAACCCCTAAAAATGGATTATAAGAAGGTAAGAGTGAAAGCTAGTACACCATTTAATAGGCAGGTATCCATGAGAGGTCAGAATGAGAGTTGATGAGGGTTTGGGGTGGTAATGTGATAATGGTGATGGTACTCAGTTATTGGAACATAATTTAGTAACAGCTTATTGGATTTGTTTATAAATTAATGTGTAATGTAAGAAAAAAGGTAAGCAAAATCGTGGGGGAAATCAGTGGTTTGATTTTGAACATGGTAAATTGGAGATGTCTTTTTCAAGTAAAGAGGCTGATTAAGCTATGGGAGGCTTAAGATCACGGAAGAGGTAAGGACTAGAAATATAACTTAGTTATCAGTGTGTAGGTGATATTTAAGCCTATAGAATGGGGGCTAGGGGGTGAATCACTTAATTCATGTGAACAGAAGAGAGAAAGGTCTGATACTGGTACCATAAAGCACTGGTCCAACTCCCAGATCTATCACAAATGTCATATATTTTTAACAAGTTGAGCGAATTCAGGTAGTATTTCATAAATGCTTTAAAGAAAGCTACAACAGAGAAAAGAAGCAAAGTGATGGAGGTAGTAAAATAAGTTCTCTTGGAAGAAATAACATTAAGTACAGGCCTGTACTATACTTGAACTTTAACAAGTTCAAAGAATTGGGCGGCACCTGTGGCTCAAAGGAGTAGGGCGCCAGCTCCATATACCAGAGATGGCAGGTTCAAACCCAGCCCTGGCCAAAAAAACTGCAAAAAAAAACAAGTTCAAAGAATTATCTTTGTATTGAATTAGCTTTGTATTAATACAAAGCATGCTGCTAGCCACCTCGAGGTGTTCACCTATGAAAAAAAGGTTTCTGTCCTCCAGAAGAGGAAGAGAAGACAGAGATGAGGAAGAAAACTTAACTTTTATTGAGTGTATCACTTGTGTCAGACACTTGCCATTGATAACTTATTTAATCCTTATAATTGTGTGAAGTGTGAATTGCCGCCATACACAGGTAGGGTTCTATAGCATGCTCCAGGTTACCGATTACTTAGTAGTATGTCAAGATTTGATCAACATTGATCCAACATTATTATGAAATTGCTTCCAAAATTCCTAGTCTCGCTAAAGGTTTCAAACACATGTAAAAGGCAGGACTCTGAAATAACCACACTAATTGAGATTGAGATGGTCTACTGAGAGAATATAGATAGATCATTTTAATATTTGGGAGATACTTTGAATGTGCTCATAGGGAACCAAAAAGTTATAGTTTCCTTTTTTCCCTAAATGAAGACACTTTTTGTGGGGGAGGGTGAGCGCAGGCACGCACATATGCTGATCCCCCTGCACAGCTTACATTAAGTGTAAAGACTCGGTTTCTGGTAGTGATTGGATTTTGTGAATTTTTGTGAATGTATTTATAAATATCAAATGTATTCTCTGATAAAATGAAAACTGAACTTACCTATATCTCTATTTGTGAGGAAATTGAAATAGTCTTCTCCTAACTAATTGTAACATATCACAATACATCTTTGTTTTTTAATTCCTCTGCCTAAGGACAAGCTGACAGTGGAAAGACTCTTCCTGATTCTAAATAGGGATTACTTTGTTTATTGAACAGTTGTGTACTCAAATAGCTCACACCTTCTTCAGGCCAAGCTGTAACCAGAGAACATGAAAACAAGTTGTGTTCTGGCTCTTGCTGCTGGAGGTTTGGCTGCCCCACCCCATGTGACTTGCAGAGGTGGCTTGTGTGTCCTGACCTCAGCTCTAAGATCACCCCACATTTCACTTGCGTAATGAAGTACATTCTAGCAAGTGTCCTTTAGTACCCAGCACTGGCTGGGAGGTGATTGCTATATACTATTGTAAACTCTTTGAAGTTAATAAAAGGTTCCTCTGTGTCAGAAAAACATAAGATGAAATGAGTGCGAGAAAGCTAGGATTCCCTGTGCATATTTACCCATAAGTGTGATGCCTGAATGACTTTCTGATTATTTTTCTGTTATATCTGCTTTCTTAGCATTAGCATTAGCTCCTGGGGTGGGAGTCCTTTTGTAAGATAAATACTTCAGTGCTGGTAGAGCAGAAACACCCCTCAAGAAACAGCAGTATACAAAGAGGTCTCCTCCTTACCAGTCACCCAACAGAGAAAATACCTTCAGATCAGCGGTTCTCAACCTGTGGGTCAAGACCCCCAGGAACTAGATTAAAGGGCCGCAGCATTAGGAAGGTTGAGAACCATTGCTTTAGATACTAGATATCATAATTCAAATGATGATTTCTTATGGAGAGAAAATCTTAGGTAGATTGCTGGTGGTAATTTTAATAGTTAATCTGAGACCTGAGTCTTCAGTGCTCTGAAGTTGCTATATAACTTCGCATTTTCTTTCCTGTTTACCTTAAAAAAAAAAATCGGAGCTAATAATTAGGCCAGTGAAAAGTATACACATGCTTTCAAAAATAATCATTGTGTTGTTTCTCATTTAAGAAGGAAGCATACGATTACCTACCACAGATATTACCAATAGTGATGTTCAAACATGTCTAATTTTTTAAAAAATCTCTCACATTAGATTTTTAAAAGGCAAATTATAGTTACTGAATTTGGATTCATTATATCATTTTCTCCTTGTATGTTTGAAATGTTCTATAATAAAATATTTTTAATATCATTTGTATTATATCTATATAAAGGGTAAAACATTTTTTTTTTGGAGACAGAGTTTCACTTATTAACCCTCAGTAGAGTGCTATGGTGTCACAGCTCACAGCAACCTCCAACTCCTTGGGCTTAGGTGATTCTCCTGCCTCAGCCTCTTATGTAGCCGGGACTACAGGCGCCTGCCACAATGCCGGGCCATTTTTTTGTTGCAGTTTGGCTGGGGCTGGGTTTGAACCTGCCACCCACCCTTGGCATATAGGGCTGGTGCCCTACACATTGAGCCACAGGTGCCACCCAGGGTAAAACATTTTTTATACATATGTGTGTGCATATATATATTTCTTTCTTTCTTTCTTTCTTTTTTTTTTTTTTTTTTGAG